CTGAAATCGTCTGATCCAATGGGATTTTGCATACACCAAAGGGGGTTGGGCCAAACACTCTCTGATATTTCACGTTTTACCTGCCATCCCAAATTTATCAATGGTATTACATTATGGCTCCCCATACACAGGTATGTCACCCAGGTTTAGGAAAAAATTAAATTAATCCACAGAGAAGGACCTCCGTCCCTGTCAACTTTTGGAAAAGTGAAGAGACCAGTAACATAAACACGTCATGCTTAGTTTCCTAAGGCAGTGAGGGGGGAAGCAATAATTGTCCAAGTACAAAATAATAGCTGGACCTCATTATGTTTTGGGTCCGTATATGAAATATATATGAGTGCACAGGGGACTCAATCTGTGAATTATACCTTTAGAATAACCAACAACATTGGACCTACGCACCTTTTATCCAGCAGGCAGCAGCAAGAGATCAAAGTCCGATCACCTCAACAACAAGCACAGGAACCCCATCATCAAGAATTTGGATGTACCATGAACAGCGGCTCAATCAGCGGCTTGTGATCTGGCTGAGATGGACACACACAACAGTCATTAAAAACATGCAAAAGGAAGAAATGACAATATGGCATGAGTGCATTAGCTTGGATTAACTGATTCACGGGGGCAGTGGGGAATGAGAAAGATGGAGAAAAGTAAGTTATAAGTGCTTCCCTAAATGACCTTCTTCCAGGCATGTGGAACACCAAAGAATTATTGTCAAGATGGCTTACATCATACTTCCCAGCCAATGTTGAATCCTTGGTGTGTATGATAGAAGCCAGCCTGTGTTAAGGACATCATAAAAGAAGCTCTGGACACACACGTTATTTATTCTGCATGCTGTTGCCATAGGCATGGAGAGCCTCAATCTGGCAGATTGTACAATCGTGTCACAATCAGCTTCTGTAACATTGTCCAATCGTGCGGTATGAGATCCGACACAGCATGCGCAGAATGACCAAGCAACATACATGGAAATCACTGAACCAATTTTGTAAAGATCACGATCAAGATTCTGCATACCTGGGGCGGCAGCGTGCAAAGAGCAAATTGTACCCAATGAAGCCAATGTTGGCTAGTATGCCATATTGTAACAAACCGATGCATTTCAACTTTAATGTATTTGACGCAGAAGGATGGCTTCAGTGAGTAAAAAGTTGGCTGATAAAACAAAATAAGAGTCCAGATTTTTTATATGACCCCTGTGGAATGTGTACACCCATCCTTGTATGTAATTTGGATCCAGGAATGAGGACATTTCATTTCAGTACACTCCTCATTCACTACAAGCAGCCTGTAGATGCAGCTTCTGTCTTGTTTCTGTTCACTTTGGCACAAATTGTACGACCACATCAAATAATTCCATCCAGTATTTTGTAGTTTAATTCAACCCAACCCTAAATGCTTGAGATTAATTGAAAAACTTAAAAGACAAAACCCAAGGTCAAGATCTACACGTACAAAACCACCGGGCATCTCACCATTACCATTACCATAGACTGATAGCAGAATATGATGTAGACTGTTGNCACGTCATGCTTAGTTTCCTAAGGCAGTGAGGTGGGAAGCAATAATTGTCCAAGTACAAAATAATAGCTGGACCTCATTATGTTTTGGGTCCGTATATGAAATATATACGAGTGCACAGGGGACTCAATCAGTGAATTATACCTTTGGAATAACCAACAACATTGGACCTACGCACCTTTTACCCAGCAGGCAGCAGCAAGAGATCAAAGTCCGATCACCTCAACAACAAGCACTGGAACCCCATCATCAAGAATTTGGATGTACCATGAACAGCGGCTCACTCAGCGGCTTGTGATCTGGCTGAGATGGACACACACAACAGTCATTAAAAACATGCAAAAGGAAGAAATGACAATACGGCACGAGTGCATTAGCTTGGATTAACTGATTCACGGGGGGCAGTGGGGAATGAGACAGATGGAGAAAAGCAAGTTTTAAGTGCTTCTCTAAATGACCTTCTTCCAGGCATGTGGAACACCAAAGAATTATTGTCAAGATGGCTTACATCATACTTCCCAGCCAATGTTGAATCCTTGGTGTGTATGATAGAAGCCAGCCTGTGTTAAGGACATCATGAAAGAAGCTCTGGACACACACGTTATTTATTCTGCATGCTGCTGCCATAGGCATGGAGAGCCTCAATCTGACAGATTGTACAATCGTGTCACAATCAGCTTCTGTAACATTGTCCAATCGTACGGTATAAGATCTAACAGAGCATGTGCAGAACGACCAAAGCAACATACATGGAAATCACTGAACCGATTTTGTAAAGATCAAGATCGAGATTCTGCATGCCTGGGGCAGCAGCATGCAAAGAGCAATTTGTACCAACTGAAGCCAATGTTGGCTAGTATGCCATATTGTAACAAACCGATGCATTTCAACTTTAATGTATTTGACACAGAAGGATGGCTTCAGTGAGTAAACAGTTGGCTGAGGAAACAAAATAAGAGTCCAGAATTTTTATATGACCCCTGTGGAATGTGTACACCCATCCTTGTATGTAATTTTGATCCAGGAATGAGGACATTTCATTTAAGTACACTCCTCATTCACTACAAGCAGCCTGTAGATGCAGCTTCTGTCTTGTTTCTGTTCACTTTGGCATAAATTGTACGACCACACCAAATAATTCTATCCAGTATTTTGTAGTTTAATTCAACCCAACCCTAAATGCTTGAGATTAATTGAAAAACTTAAAAGACAAAACCCAAGGTCAAGATCTACACGTACAAACCACCAAGCATCTCACTATTACCATTACCATGGACTAATATCAGAATATGATGTAGACTGTTTCCATACCTGTTGAGTAGTGTCACCAGTGATAAGATATCTCTGATTTGTTACACTCCAGAGAACAGCCTCCAAGGACCAGCTTGCTCATCTCTCCGTCAAACTACTGAAACTAGGGAAACTAAACAAACCATGTTTGAATTCCAATCTGTATTACAACACACTTATGGAGGCCACCATTTTAAAATGCAGATTGCACTTTACACTCAATTGAAGCATCATTGAAAGGAGTGTCAAAGAGACAAAGATCAGGGCCAAATAATATACAAGCCCACGTCACTAGAGTTTCTTTTATAAAAATCTCATCTTTTTAGTTGTTATTTTTCCATTTCTTTTTAATCATTACTTGATTAGCTAAGTACATTTTATTCTTCCAAACACCTTAAATACACTTCCCAAAAAGTCCTTTTCCTCAAGCTTGTCAGCAGTGATTTAGCAAATTACATCCATCTACTTTGTAGTTCTAGACGACCTTATGATGTGTTTTCAACCATATACAGATGCAAGACCGCAAAACAAAAAGTGTTGATCTGGGGCTATATTTAAACAATCCCACCTATTTTTTCAGCCAAACAATCTCTTCAATCTGCCTTGAGTAGACACACAACTTGATTGAAAAGCGCTGTGTTGGTTGGGAGTCTTCATTTTGTTGGTAGCGATGGGGCTGCACCTCTTGCATGTCCTAGTCGTTCATGAACCAGTGATGCACAGTTAGTACCAAAGGAGCCTCTGATGCCAAGGAAATAGCGTTCTCTCTCAGTCCAACTGAAGGCCAATATGGGAGATCACAGTCTGTGCAGAAAACATTCCCAAATTATAAACGGTATTAACCGTAGCCTCCCAGGGTGCATGTGAAATCATATTGAAATCAGAGGATTTGGGGGACCATTTGAGCAATGTTATGGCTCCTTATATATATGTTACCCAGTATTTGGGCAAAATACATTTATCCAGCAAGGATGACCCCTAAATACAATNATATAGCCTAGCCAGCCAAACTGGCCGACCCGGCGCAATGCGCCGCAGCACCGTACAGCTTGACGAGGCTGGGTGCGTATGGAAGTCCAACGCCTCATAAGTCTGATGCCTCAGGAGTCTGAATTTTTGGACTTACAAAGCATTTGACTAACGAGGCATTGCATCTGTAGACTGATATAAACTAATACAGATTTGTACATGTATGTACGTGTATTCCATTCTGCAGCCCAACGTTCGTGGATCATTATTCGCTGCAGGTGCCAAGCACACATACGGGCATATTGTGCAACAACTCGGCTGGTACAGGCATACACGGCTTAGGCTATGTCCGAAACGGGCCTCCACAGCTACGGCTAGGTCGTTTGTCCCTTTAGTTGCGGATTGTGTATGCATGCACGCAGCAAATTCAACTACGTGTGTCTGATTATTCTGTGACGTGATGAATTGGTAAACTTTACACCACAAGGAGATGTTGTTGGTAAACTCATGCAGTGCAGTCAAAAAAGATTTGTCAAATTGAAACAAAGCCCGTTCTCTTTGTTAAATGTAAGGTTAAATTTATTAGCATTCTTAAATTAAGAAATTCTTTCGCAGAAAATATGCCAGTTCTATCCTGTAATATAAGATCTTTTGTCATGGATTGTAAAATATTTAAATATGATAGCTCATCATCAAGCACATAAAACACCATTTTTTTTCAATTTCATAACTTGTTTTGCAGAAAATTTTACATGTACACCTTGGCCTCAGTGCCTTTCCTTTGTAGATATTTGGCCTTTTGTTCCTGTTATTAGCCGCGGTGCCTCTTAACTAGCCCCACTAGTGTGGCACGGACTCTCACTCCCGATCCATCCTTAGTAGGGCTACCCCTCAACGTGTCCTACCGGTATTTCGTGAGGCCAAAATGGCAGTGCCCCCAAAAGTCGAATTTCAAGCCTTGCAATGCTCATGCACATGTACTCCAAACCTGCTAACCCTTCTACTTTAATCAGAACTGTCTTGATTTTCATATTCTAAGACGGCACAAAATTGTAATGTTTCCATGTTACAGCCCATATAGCAAAACAAGCAGCCATGCTAGAGAATCTATTTATAAACATATACATGTTTGTGTAACGCCTGTAATGCAGCAAATAGCGCCCTCGTTTGCAAGGAATTTTCCATTAATTAATTACAACTTTTTCCTTTTTTAGAAATCAAAATGTTCCAATTTTAAAAAGTCAACACGTTTGAACAGTTTGTATTTGCTTTTCGTTCAAAATAACAGCATGAAAATGACCATTTGTTTTGTGCAAATACAGCAATTGTTAATAAATGTTATCTTATATAGCCTACTTATTTTAACTTCACACACCTATCCCCTTGTTGGCATAAAAGTACCGCCTCTCGGAGCACTGATGAAGGATCAGGCAAGATGAAAGTCAGATTGAAGAATCAAAAGGGCCTGCATCTTATATCCTTCTGAAATGGAACAAGAAGAGAAAAAGGTAAAATCCATCACCTTGACAATATTGAACTTGACTCTAACCCTGCCAGATGCAGCAAAGTGCAACAGGTGTAAAAGTTTGATGCACTTCCATGCACTGGGCAATCAGCAGGAGCCAAACAAACTGACACAATGGGAACTAGTTCCATTGAACAATGCCACTGTAGCGTGGTGACTTGGTGACTTGCAACCACAGACTTGGAGGCTGTTTGGCCTTAGGGAGAGTTGACCCGTTGAATCTTGTTACACTGGGCAGGCAAGCCACTTTACAACCCCCCATTTCCACCCTGGATCCTCCTCCGAAGGGGGGTATATCTACAACAAAATGAGCCCAGATGAACCTTAAAATAGGAAGTTTGTCCAGATTTGGTAAAGGAAGGAAAAAAATCAGCGCCTTCAAGATGCACAAGGCATGTACACAGGATACATGTTTTCCTATTCAAAATGTGTAAAATGCCATAGCCATGCTCATTAACCCCTGAGGTTTCTCCCAGGGGCAACATTTTTCTTTCTTTTTTTCAAATGAATGACTTCGGAGATATTCTGCTTCTCTCAAGTGTGTTATTGTGTCACAATGTGAAAGTTGCCCTCTGTTAAAGATCTCGAGAATGGTAGCGGCCATGTTGTTTTGATTGGGATTTAAAAAGGTGCTTTTTGCTGCTTTTTCTGTACATCAAGATCAAATGGAGGCAAAATACAACAGAAAACAAAATAATTTGTTAATTATTAATAATACTCTGTACTTTTGAATTCCAGGTTTTTATTGAAACAAGAGCAGAAAAAACAAGCACAGTGGAGTAAACTTTTACCGGGAAGTGAACCATCATACACTATGGAAAATGTTGTCATTCATCTTAGTTTCTGCTTGCTCTCATTTTGGTTTCTTCCTGGCTAGTTATTTGTATAATTATTGAGATGGAAAACAAATACAAAACTTTTAGTGAGATAAAATAAGTAAATCCCAATTTTCTGCTTGTAAAAATTTAATTTTGATTGGGGATAAAGTCAAGGATATATAGGACGTGCAGCATGTCTCAGGTGAAAAGTTAAAACAAACACAGCGCACAATGACTGAACTAATATTTTTCAGCAGACCAATAAAGTGGACAATTTCCATGGTTGCTATAAAAATTTTAGCCACCAAAAGGATGCTTGACTTTGTCAGTCGCCACGGCAACTGGCACCTTTCCTGCAACGCTGCACTTCAAGAATGTTTTTCACAATTGCTCTCAATCTTGCTGCACATGTCCATTTTTGGGGTGACAATTTCACTGCGTTCAAGACATTTGTAGATGTATATTGCAGGGCATTCCTTGAAGGGACAGTTGCGTCCATTGCTGACAAAAGACTCCTTCCATCAGCCTTTTAAATTCTGTGTTGCACAAACCCTGACATTCCTCAGTCGGCATCTGGCATTCAACGTAGGCTGGCCATCACAATCAGGATTTCCTTGATCTGTGGTGTATGAGAACAGCATTGCAACTAAGTCCACTGCAGAAGGCTTGATGTCAACAAACCGGTATGTTGCTTGTACCCCTCTGACTTGTCAGTTGAATTCTGGCACTCGAGTTTGTCAAGAGAAGTTGTCTTGGCAACATCGGGACAGAGCAGCAAGACATCCTTTGTCAGCACTGCATCGGACTGGTCCTTGAAGACTCATCTCTAACAACAGCATGTTCCTATTTACTCCTTTGTTTGCCTTATGTAAACTGTTGGTGAGTTCATCTGAAATGGACTGTCTGGAGATGTAACAAGTTTTGGCCATTCTGACACCAGCCTTTGTTCCATTTGCAGACTGCACATTCCAATCAACTCAGCGTTGCTGCAGAACTAGCTGGCTCTGCAAGTCTGATAAATTTTCTCTTGCGTGTGATCATCTGACAGAATGCATGTGGCCACACAACTCATTCCCTCATATCCTCTAGACCTAGTACATTAAGACCTACCCCACCTCATCGTCTTTTGATATAGCAAGTGTAGACAAAGTGTGACATCATTATGTTTATTTAAAAGTCATCCTTGGTGGATAAATTTATTTTGCCCAATTACTGGGTGACATATAAATATAGGGAGCCATAACATAGCTCAAACAGTCCCAAAAGTCGTCTGATTTCAATATGATTTCACATGCACGCTGGGAGGCTACGGTTAATACCGTTTATAATTTGGGAATGTTTTCTGCACAATCTGTGATCTCCCATATTGGCCTTTAGTTGGACTGAGAGAGACCACTATTTCCTTGGCATCAGAGGCTCCTTTGGTACTAACTGTGCATCACTGGTTCATGAACGACTAGCTAGGACATGGTAGCAGCCCCATTGCTACCAACAAAATGAATACCCCAACCAACACGACTCTTCTCAACCAATTAGGCTGTGCTTCTACTCAAGGTGGATTGCATTTGGGGATGGCAGCTGAAACCTTAACTGGAAGAGATTGACTGGCTGACAAAATAGGTGGGATTGTTTAATTATAGCCCTAGATCAACATTTCTTGTGTTGTGGGATTTCATCTGAATGCAGATGGTTGAAAACAGATCTTAAGAATGCCAAAAATAGAGGAATGTTTAAATCGATGCCTAAAGGCTTGAGAAAGATTACTTATTGGAAATGTATTTTAAGGTGTTTTGAAGAATAAATGTACTTAGCTAACTTAGCTAAAGCAACAATTAAAAAGAAATGGAAAATGACAACTAAGAAGATAATGAGATTTTTATGAAATGTTTATGAGAAATTCAAGTAATGTGAGCTTGTATATTATCTGGCCCTGATCTTTGTTGATTTGATACTATTTTCAATGATGCTTCAATTGCTGTTGTAAAGTGCACCTTATAATTTGAGACAGTGGCCCCCACAAATGCTAGTCATATGAGCTGAAATTCAAACCCGATTTGTTATTAGTTTCCCTAGTTTCAGCAGTGACAGAGAGACAAGAACAAGCTAGTCCCTTGGCAAAGTTTTCTGAAGTGTGACAGATCAGAGATATCATATCACTGGGGACAATACTCGACAGGTATGGAAACAGCTTACATAATTTTCTGATATTAGTCCATGTTACTGGTAATAACATGCCCAGTTTAGTAAATCTGGAACTTAAGTTTTGTCTCATAAGCTTTTCAACTAATGAGAATCTCCGGCCTTTGGGGCAATGCTGAAAACTGGTGTAATCAAATATTCAGAGTTGAAATACGCGTCACCAATCGTGTCAGTCAAAAAAAACAGGATGATTTGACCAAAGGGTACCAGCAAATCCCAATTGCTGATCATGACAAAGACAAAACTGCATTCATAATGCCTGAGTTTACAGTTCTCCCATTCAGAATGATAAATGCGCCAGCAACATTTATGTGCATGATGAGGGAACTCCTTTGAGGTCAATCTAATGTTGTCAATTTCATTGATATGTTGATTTTCTCCCAGTCATTTGAAGATCACCTAAAACATGTCAGAGGGGTTCCAAGGTAAGTGAAATTTTAAAGTTGCGTTCACCAAATTTGCCAGTGAATCGATCTAGAGGTAGACCACCCCGTCTTCCTGGTCCAGGTAGACTGATAGGAAGACATTTTGCGGTAGAAATTTGCCAAACTGGAAAATGAGCTACATTATACAAACAGTGTGATGTTTGTTCTAGAAATGGCAAAAGAAAAGAGACCAAAGCGATGTGTGAAATTTGTAAAGTGCCACTTTTCGCTGTTCCTTGTTTCAAGGAATATCACAAAGTTTCCTGTATTCCAAAAAATCATAAATGAAATAGTACATGAAATTTTATGATGTTTGTTCTAGATATGGTGAAAGAAAAGTGACGAAATTGATGTGTGAAATTAGGCAAGTTCCAATTTTTGCTGCTCCTTATTTCAATTTTTGCTGCTCCTTTATCACACTTGAATCAATTGCTTATTTACGTAAAGTTTCCTGTATTCCACGAAATAGTACATGAATTTTGAAGCAAATCCCTCAAGGTTTATTATACTTGAATCAATTACTTATTCATGTACAATTTTGGCAAATTTTTTCACAAGAATTTTCTCCTGTGTCAAGACATCGTGTAATGCAACTACTCTCCACCTCCTTTCCTTTTTTTGGCTAAGTTTTTTACTGGAAGGTTCCTTTTTTTTAATAACATTGAAGAAAGATAAAATGATTGTAAATATGAGAAAAGAGAAAAAAAGAAATGACAAGTCGTCAAGAGAAGAAGAAAAGTGAGAAATTTGTCTTGTGTTTTTCTTGTGTCTGTTTATTTTATAATTATGGGGAGGACTAGTTTGGAAAGATAGTTTTCATGGGAAGGTTCAAACTTAGAAGGGGCTGTTTATATATATCATTACATACGGAAAGGGGATTTGAATAGAACTTGCCAAAAAAAAAACAACTTAGAAATGTTCAAGAAAATTATGAGCAAACTTTGCGCAAAATAAAAACATTAGGGGAATTTTGCGGGAAATCTTCACCGGGTATTAGCTGAAATAAAAACTTGTGAAGAGCACTCAGTGTACAAGTTGGGGCTGGACATTGATGCTGGGCATGCATGGACTACTGGGAAGCGGGCACACAAGCCACGGTGCCCACTAAAAGCAAGCATAGACCGTGTGAACTTAGCGGGTGCTGCACTCTCCACTGTAACCGAGCGTCCTTGGGTAGTTGGTGTTGTCACATGAGCAAGGCAAGTGCTGGGTACCTGGGATCCAAATACCCCAGCAGGCTTCATGACTACACAGAGCCAGGCTGTGTGCAGTGTGTGACCCAGCAAACTTGGCAGATAGGCCTGGTGCCCAATGTAGGCGTCTGCAGTTGCCTTTTGCAAAATTCGGAAAATAAACCCGGCAGCCAGGTGGGTTGCGGTAAAACTATCAGGACGTGAAGGGGTTAACCAGCTATTATGAGCAAATCTGGTGTCAAGCTTCATTCCAGGGACAAACGCTCCTGATTGGAAGTTTTTACTGTCCACCCAATGGTAAATCCTGTGCCTCTTTTAGACCATGAATCTAACATCTCCAAAGTTTATGTTTCGAGGGGCTCTCCATTCATCATCCTTGGGGGTGACTTTAATGTTCAAGGGGTAGACTGCTCTGATGGTTTACAGAGTGAACCCAAAAGGATGTCTTCAGGAAGCATTGTCTAACCTCATTTTGACAAATCACCTGACCCAGAAAGTGACATTTACTACCAGATGTGGTGTTACAAACTAGCTCTAAAAACACCTTGTCCCTACAACTGACCTCATGTCCAGACTTAGTCTCTGATGTTTCGCCTTGTTCTGGAATTAGTAATCAACCTATGGTGCAAGCAAACACTACATGCCAAGATTAAATCCCCCCCCAGCCACCCCATAAAATCCCTCCCTGGGGAAAGGTGGACAATGAAGAAATTATAGATCGGGCAGAACATTTGGCTGCAGGTTTCTTCAACCAGCATCCAGAATAAAAGATCTGTTGAGGGCAACTGGGTGTGGTTGAGATGGCTGAATCTGTGCATATATATACATGCATGTGTGATCCACATGGAAAATGTGCAAAAGAGTAACTGTGGTTGTCAAATGCATATTTGTCCTCCTATGCTGAAGTCACTCTTTGGGTGAGTTGATGAGTCGCACAAAAATGCACAACTGTGGCATATTGTGCACTGCACCAACTACTAAATGACACTGATACAAATCATGTTCCCCACAAGCTCATTAAGGGTCGCATGCGCCCTCCTTGGTTCTCTACGAGACTCAAGCAGTTGTGCAACATGAGACAGAAATTGTACATCCATGCCAAGAAGAGTGGATTAAAACAAGAGGGGGCAAATTCACCGGAGTACGGAAGCAAATGATCTTGGTCTCCCTTCACCGTCTCGTTCACCAGCAGTGGCCCCATTGCCAGCCTGATCAGGATCCTGTCGGCACTCCGGTGGCACGATGGGTTCGAAGCGATAAGGCTCTGCACCTCGGATTTGGGGCAGTGTATAACTGCAACTACACATGCGTTACTATACTACGTGTAATTACGTGCATTGACATGAGCGCGTCAGCTCAATGTGTACATGCACCAGCCGGAGAACCATTTCCATGGTGCTATGTCAACAAAATCCTGGAAAAGCCATATTCATGAGATGTAAATGAAGCAATAACGACACGCTCCGTTAACGAAAGCTAGCCGTGGCGCTCAGCAGAAACAGGTCTCAAAAGTGAGCGACTCAGATGACCTCTGAATCGGGGAAAGGCAAACATCTGTTGTGATTGGAACTATCTTATACACCTACGTGCATGTACACACACTGTATGAATAAACCACTCATTCATAAGCTCTGTAGAAGCTTGAAACTCCCACCTCCAGTCTCTATTAATTACCGCCATCTGTAATATCACTTCAACATCATTCCTATTTTCAAGAAAGGTTCAACTACCGACCCTGCAAAGTATCGTCCTGTTTGCTGCAAATTGTTGGAACACATTATGGACAGCAACCTCATGGGACAGCTTTCTGGACATTGTCTTTCTGATAATCAGCATGCATTCAGGAAGCAGAGGTCATGCCAGTTTCAGCTATCTTGATTGCAAATGATCTAGCTAAGATTTTTGACAACAATGTTGTCACTAACCTAGTATTGCTTGATTTTGCCAAAACATTCCATGCCACCCCCCATCAAAGACTTGATTTCTACAGTGTTAGTTCCAATACAAAATGATGGATTTCCAGCTTCCTATCAAAGTGCCCACAACGAGTGGCATCCTGTGCCAAGCGGTAAAACCAAGGGCAGAATATTGGTTCGACATTGTTTCTTCATATCAACGACATCCATGAAATAGTCACAAGCACCACCAAACTATTCGCCGATGATTGCCTGTTACATCGTTTAATCAAAGTCTGCTAATGATGCTCTTCAAAAAGATCTTGATACGATGGCTGAACGGTCACAAAAGTGGGGCATGCATTTTAATCTGTCCAGAGGAGGGATCCAGGTGAAACATCATACAGCATCCTTGGTATCCCCCTTGAGGAAACCAAACAGATAAAGCATCTTTGCATCAAAGTTTAACTTGATCTGCACTGGACTGGCCAGACGCATCGTGCAACAGCAAAAGCAATCAGTGTGCTGAATTTTCTGAGATGATACTTCCACCACTGCTTAATTTTTGGCAAGAGAAAGCTGTATCTCACCCTCGTTGGGCCACACTTGGATAATGGAACTGGTGCATGGGATCCATACACAGTTAAAGATGTTAATTCCATCGAGAATATTCAAAGACAGCCTGCTGGATTTGTGACCAAAACCTACAGAAGGGAACGGAGTGTTACCAAACTCCTACGTTCACTTGAATGGAGCACCCTTCACGACAGACGTGAAGCACACTGCTTGACTTCTACATAATGCAACATGGAAAACTCAACATAGATTCTCAAGCCCATACCAAGCCAAAAGCCACCAGAAACCAACAAGGCTACTCATCTCAATTTGTTGTACCAGCCAACGTACAATTAAAGAATGGAATAGTCTCTACCCTACAATAGTTACACAAACAGATGTAGTTAAATGTAAGACAGCTCTTTTTCAAAAACATGTTGCCATAAGTCCACCCTACAGCACCTCCATTCAAACTCCAGTAGGAGTATTATGGAGGAACTGCAACCAAGAACACCATTGCCATTATGTTGAGATGGAGAAATAAATGTGGACCAGGGACGCAGCTTGTGTGGATGGACTATGGCATGGTGGCAAATTTATTCCAGAGTGATTGCCCCCTTGGGCCGACATCCTTAGCGCATGCACTGCACACATATACAAGGACACAATATCACATATCCCTATGATAAATAATGTTGCTATTGTGCCCGTAAATAGGCCTACACTGTTTACAGAGATCACAGGATGATCTGCATTTTTCACTCATTATGGTACTTACCTTGGATTTGATTGAGTTCTTGATACATACGCCACCTCCAGGCAGCAAGCTAGCCATAGCCATTAACTGCCTAAACTCGTACATCTGTAAAGTGTAATGAGAGCAAATAGTAAAGATAAGAAGCACCGTGGGCTTTTCTTCCTTCATTCTGGAAGGCATCATGCTCAATCACCACTGGTAGACCTATTATTCCTCCGCATACAATTCCTGACTCACTATCCAACTCACAGGGGGAATTCGAGTCGTCATGTTTTTTGTATTTCAAACTTGTGGGCTTGAATTTCTTTTCATTTTTTTTGTACGACATGCCTTTTCGGTTATCTGTGCGGCACTCACATCATCTTACGCAAGCAGGAACGCAAGCCATTCCATTATACAGACCTCCTTTGGCTACATGAATTCACTCTTGGTCAAGTGACACACCCTGCTACACCAGACTCTCCCAACCCACCCAACTCCTTCCTCTTCATTTCTGATCAGTTCAGGAGGAGTGCACTTCTGCTGAGCATCCGGGTTGCACCCATGCTTCCTCCTGGGGGTATTACATGGCCACTGAGTAGCGTCACAAACTGTGTTGTGCAGACACTCAGCGTAGAACTGATACTATAATCATTGGAGACCAATAAGTCTGGTTGCTACCCAAAATGGACTTAAACCATCTCACTTGGTGATTGACACGGTCAAAGGCCTTCAACCAATAAAAAAACAGCATCAATACGAGGGGGTTTAGAAACATCAATAGCATTAGCCCAACCATGATACAGGGTCGTTAATTGTGTAACACACGAGCGCTTGGGCAAGAATCCATGTTGACTAGGTGAAATTATCCCCTCTCTATATATGTGATTAACAAGACATTTAGAAAAAATCTTTTCCAGAATTTTCCCAACAACAGAACACAGTGAAATAAGCTGGTAATTGGACTTAGCATGAGCATCACCCGATTTAAACAATGGAACCACATTCGCGAACTTCCACTATTGTGGAACTGAACCAGTAGCAAGAGACAAATTAAAAAGTTTGGCAAGTGGTTGAGCCAAACTATCACAGGCCAATTTAAGCAACATAGGAGAAACACAGTCAGGCCCAGTAGATTTATACATATTAAGCTCTGACAGCAGTTGTTTAATTTCTGCAGGGCTTGTGGAAACATCACCCAGATGAAAATCAGTGATGGTATGGTCACATGAATTGCCACTGAGATTATGAGGACCATTACTGAAGTCATTTTGAAAAATTTGATTGAAATTTTCTGCAATATTGGTAGGATCACTAACGACACCAAGGTCACTGTGAAAGCTCGTAATTATACTTTTATGATGTTGACCACTCACAAAAGACCAAAATTGCTTTGGATTATTCGAAGAGTTGCAAGCCATGTCCTGAACATAACTACAGTAAGACTGTCTAATTAAGTATTTGACATCATTGCGAATTCTTTTGTATTTAGCCCACAAATTTTGATTACTATCACTGCGAACTGCTGCCTTGTAAGCCCTGTGTTTCTTTTTTGTTAAAGCAACAATTTCAACGGAAATCCAGGGATGCTTCTTTCTTCCATTTTGTTTGGCCACAGGAACAACATCTTTTACAGCTAGAAAAAGAAGATCTTTAAATCTAACCCAGACCTCATCTATATCATCTGCAGAGAAACACGTATCCCAAGAAATCCTACAAATAGTACCACACAGAATACCAATATCAGCCTTTTTATATTGATAAAATGACCGACTCACAGTTTTATCATCAAAAGAGAGTGATAAATGAAATTTAACACCATTATGATCACTATTTCCAAGACCAGGATAAGCTCCGACATTTGAAAAAAGGTCAGGTCTGTTAGTAAATAACAAATCTATTACTGACCCTTGACTGGCAGAAATACCATCACAAGTGGTGAACGTCACCAACTGCTCCAAATTTAAAATATCAATAACAGTAAGCAGTCGTTGAGCCAGAGGCGATAATATTGAAAATCAATGTTGAAATCACCAAGTACAGCAATGGTAAAATACTGTTGTATGAAAGTGATGGGGAGTCTGTCTGGGTAGCACTAGTCTGTTTCATGCCTAGGTGCCCCTGGTGAAGAGGTCTTGATGTCAGTGGGCTGATGTATGAAGTGGTTACTGGGACCAGTAGGTGTGCCTCAGTTCGCCAAACCAGAGGTTGAGTGGTTGGACAAGCTAGGCTACTTCCTTCTTCTTCATTCGTAAGCCTTCGCTCTTCCCGGCCTGGGCGACTGGCATCAGGCCTCCGTTCTCTCTGGCCTGGAATGCAGCTCAGTTCCTTGTGCATGGTTGTTTGCTAACCCCGGTTCTGACCAGAAAGGAGTTGGACACAGTGAACCGTTAGCACGGTAAAAACGAGCATCAGCTGGGACCTTGACACCTCGACCATACCGACTCTTGTCGGTCTGGGGGGAACAGTTGAGGACGAGTTCAAGCATTAAGCCCTCAACTATTGAGTTAACAAGTTTGGTTTATGATTACACGTTTTATTAATATTCTGGTGAGATGCTCCACAATCTCAGCAGTAAAATACTGTACATTCTTACGATGTAATACTTCTTACTTGTACAGCTCATGCAATGATTATTAACACATTTGGGCCTGCTAACAACAGCAAATACTATTTGGGGGATTTTTGCCACACATGCTTTTGAACAACTATTTCTAGTCCATAGCACTAGTCTGACTACTAGTCTCTTGGCATCCTATCCATCAATTTTTCCAGATAATCTGGTGAAATATATTGCCATGCCTGCTGAAGAAGCTCCCACAGATTCGTTTGACTCGATGGGCATTGCTCTCTTACTTTACGGTCCAGTTCTTCCCACAGCAACTCGATAGGGTTTAAATCTGGCGACTGGGTGGGCCAGTCTGTGACAGTCAACACTCCTTGTGACTCTTTCTTTTCCAAATATGACTTACACAGCTTGGACATATGCTTTGGGTCATTGTCTTGTTGCATGACAAAGTTGGCACCAATCAGATGTTGTCCTGAGGGAATGGCTTGATGTTGGAAAATACTGTGGTGTCCATGCTGGTTGAGGATTCCTTCCCCTCGATACAAATTGCCAACTTTGCCCGCCCCAAATCAACCCCACATCGATACACTTCCTCCTCCGTGTTTGACTGTGGGTTTGATGCATTGTGATTCCATCCTTTCCCCCGATCTTCGTCGAACGTAGACCCATCTCTTACAGCCAAATACATCCAGTTTTGAATCGTCTGACCACAGTACTTTCTTCCATTGCTCTCTGGTCCAGTTTAGCCCAAGCATACCTTTTCACCTTGTTTTTTTCTCTTGAGAAGTGGTTTCTTCCTGGATACTCACCCCATCAACCCAGTAGCTTTGAGGTGATGCCGCACTGTGGATGAAGAAACAGCTTTCTCTCCTGCTTGCTTTCGTGTGCTGTTCGATTCTGAAGTAATTTCTGGACATGTCAAATATCTGTATCGCAGGCTGCAAACTCTAATGTGCTTATCTTCTGCTTTAGAGGTAATCTTTGGCCGGCCGCATCTCTTTCTGTCCACATTTGACCCAGTCTCAGCTTTCCCTGCAAGGCAGGTGTGGACTCCATGGAGAGAGACGTTCAGTTTGTTGGCTGTTTTGCAAATGTTGTAGCCTTCAGATCATAAAACCACTACAGACTGGCGTGTTTCTAACGAAATCCCCCTGGATTTAGCCATTACCGTCGGCTTCAAATTGTCCAGATCAAGATAAGGGCAGAGGACCATGCTTTAGGCCTTTCAAACCTCTGATTTTGTAACAACACTATGCCCCAAGATCAAAGTACCAACATTCAGTTACATGTACAAGTATACTACTAACACTGTCAATGCCCAAATCCCCGTAGTCATCCCAAGGTCACCTCCTAATAAAGAAATGTGAATAGTACACTTTCAAGGTGTGGAACAACAAATTATTGAAAATCAACCGACTTTGGGGAATACTATTACCATAATGTAATCAAACTAAGCCATAATCAACTATTACATCATTAGAATCTACTTCACTACTAAAAACCTCTGATAACTGACAAGAATAGCTCATTAATAGCATGTAGCAGTCAAAACTATCCGTGGACTTGTCATGTCCCAAAAATTTTGGAGGGTAGTGTATAACATCGCTAGGTGACACAACATAGGTAGAATCAATGTCAGCAATGTAAAGCATATACAAAGAAAGAGGAAAATACCACACAAAACCGACAAAAAATGTATACATTTAGAGATAATAAACGTACATGACCAAAACTGCAATTTATTGTTCATACGAACATTACAGTTGATCAACTTACCACAGGAAGGTGGAGCGAGAATAGAAGATAAACACTTGTTCGTTATCGATTGCGCCAAGAAAAAGAAAGTTGAACATGGTGGCGGTGCCACAATGCATTGTGGTAATAGAGGGCGAACTACAGTTGATCAAGTTGTAGTGCAAATGAAATAAAGCGTCTAGGAAATTTGTAAATATAGTGACTGTTTGGGTAGAATGAGCAAAGTATAGACAATGTTCTATTTACTCCACTTTACCTCTATCCATACCAGTTAAATTAAATTAATGTTTTCTTGGTGAAATATTCTTGTGCATCGCGTGTCCCATCTTTTTACGTACATGTAAATGCTGAATGCTACATACTGGGCTGATTTTCAGTTCCAGTTTCTTGAAAGACTATCATCCACAAAATACACTGAAATTTGGGAAACTGAAAAAAGAGCAAAGCTTCCTCGTCTTTTCTGCTTGATAACTGGTAACATTTCTTTGAACACTTTGCAATTCACACTTATAATTGAAGTTCTGGTCTTCAATGTTGTTTTTCAGGTGCATTTGGGGCACGCCTGACACAGGAAATATCAAGTGAAATTCCACACCAAGGTCTCTGTTTTCAAATTTTTAAAACATAATTTGGCACTGTTCAGTATCAATAACTGTTGATTATTCTGCTACTGTTGAATTACAGTGAGAGCCTTTTTTTCCTATCAAGCAATGTAACCCTAACATAATTACCAACACTCTGAAACAAACCTGAATTCCTACTAGTGAGTCTTGCTCAACTAAGCTCAGGACGTTGTGCCCCT